ACACACACACACACACACACACACACACACACACACACACACACACACACACACACACACACGAAAGCAAACAAAGAAAAAACAGGTAGGGTGAATGGAACTTTTTGCTTGCATCTGTTTTATGAGATGCGTTTTCTCGTACCCGATTCTTTGGCTACTTAGTTATCAGGGTTCTTCGTTTTTATACATCGTTTATTCTACAGCCTGGTATAAACCGTTTTTAAGAGGAACTTATGCAGGAATAAGGAGGGATTTGATGGGAATTGCCTCAGATTTTGTCGTTACGATCAAGCATATATTCGGGAAGCACTAGACTCTAGTTTTGCGCTTGTTCGACCTCACCAGTTGTATACATTCATTGGCCCGACCGAGATTCAAACTCTGCATGTGAGCCAACCCGCTCCCATTGGGGTTGNGGTTGACTAGACTTACCAGTCCGTTTTTTCGCTTGGTCTGAAAGCAAATAAACGAGTGTAGTCTCTGTTAACTCTCATCGAAAGCCTACCACGAAATCAGGTTTAAGTAAACGTGTCCAATTACATTCGCTTGGCTAGTAGTTTTTAGTACATGAATAGCCCAAGGTCTTCCGTGAATGAACGTGTGATTCAGTTTTGTTTTGTATTTCCCGCTCCGGAGTTCTTTTTTGGTTGTTCCACAGATGGCAACAATTTTAGGTCCTGAGCAGTCTGTTGAGATACAATTGATTTAGTTTGTTGATCTCAGATCAGGCGATTCCCTAGTTCGCACACCCATTACTTCTATCTTCTGGGAGCTTTTAATTGAGGAGCGGGTATGAATAGATCTTAATTGATCAAAGAAAAGCTTGAAATATTCGAATCACAATGACTGGATACATGACAATTGTACGACTGACCAGTCAATAGTAGCACTCTCGGGGAAGCAGAACTATCAGGATCACCTAACTGTGAGATACCTTGTGACACGAAGGGTGTGTGTGTGTGCATCCAGTGAAGTGACTTGGAGCAGATCTTTGAAGAGGTTTTGAGAGTGCAGTGATTTGAGTTAGCTGATGGTTTCTTTTGATGGACGGCGAATAACCTCGTGCCATGTTCACTGGAGCAAATGTTCAACTTCCATAGATTACGCTGGCTGGGGCATGTGTTACGCAAGCTACCGTATAGATTGTTACGGCATACCGCGTTTGTCGAGGCAAGTAATTGACCACTGGGGCGGTCAAGCTTAAACCTCAAGTGAGACTATGGAAATTCCAATCAGAAGACTGAAACATGTATGTCGCGTTAGTCTTATCGCATCCATTGATATCTCCGCGTTGTAGTAATTCCTACAAACTGGTTAGAACCTTAATTTTCATGTGACGGACGACGTGTAATAATTTGATTTGTTTATGCATTCTCCTAAATTTCCTTATACTTAGAAGAACACAATTATCAGGTTTCATTCGGTTTTTTGTTTTGCTTTTTAATTGCAATCAACGCTTTAGGTCCGTGTTTTGGATGAGAATGACTGCACACCAGAATTGAAAGTTTTCTCACCAATCACCGCACACAGCGCTCGTCAAGATCCCTTAGATCCTTGGTCGTTTACAAAATTAGGTCAATGGATTGAGAAGCAACGAGACACGTCCGTTCCGGTACACCCTTCTCTATTAAACGCATATCTGGCCCAGGTGCCTGTTTTTACTGTGCATGTGGCGGAGAATCAACCATCTGGCACAGTCTTCGCCCGGATTCGAGCCCAGGATCTGGATGCGGGAGAGAACGGTCGTGTAACATTCGATTTGCCCCGACAGCCACCACTGATCAACGGATCTCACTCATCCGCCGCACTATTTCCCGATCAAGCAGCTCATTCGTATGAGAAAATCGAACTTCCAAGCAGTCCGGAGGCTTCCAAATTGTTCACTATCGATCCTACTCGTGGTGATGTGAGCACACGGAAAGTGATCGATCGAGAAGAAGGTGATGCTATTTTGGAGCAGAGCTTTCTTGTCGTACGAGCAACGGATCACGGGAGTCCAGCACGCACGGCGTTACTCTTACTTCACATCCTAGTTGACGATGAGAATGACAACCCACCGATGTTTTTTGAGTCCAAAATGCATTTTAATATCCGGGAGAACCTACCCGCTCCTACAATAGTTGGTGAGATTCGTATCATTGATCCGGACTTACGTCCGGTTGGTGCATTCGAACCAGATCAGGCAACCTATGGGCTGCAAGGACCCACGTATCCGGAGCGTTTGGATTACGCGATACTATATCCCCGCGGTCAATTGCATCGCAAAACACCACTTCATGTGCGTATCGATCCCAGTCATAATCGACGCGATCTCCCGTTCGTTCTTTATCCAACCGCAGATGGACGATTCTTTTTAAACACCACACGCCCACTGGATCGTGAATCCGAAGAGGCATTTCAGTTCATCCTGATCGCGGTCGATGGTGGTGATGTGTTGCAGACCACCACGGATCGCCTCGAAATGACCGGTCCGCGAAAACCGAAACAACACACGGCAACAGCATCGGTTCTGATTACCGTCTTGGATGAGAATGACAACCACCCGGAGATTATATTTCCTAACCCCAGTGCGTCGAACTCTACCATCCATCGAGTCTCGTTTCGTGAACATGCCGGTTACGAAATTGTGAATATTAATGCGAACGATCGGGATGCTGGTGAAACCAATGGGAAATTCTATTTCGAATTAATCCCCGGTTCCAGATCGGAAGATCTGTTCACAATTGATCGCGTCAGTGGACTGTTGCGTACTCGTCGGCGCCTGACGAAAGAAGACTTGGGCGAGTATACGCTACATGTGGTTGTACGGGATCAAGGAGATCCACCCCTGGAGACGCAACTGACTCTTCATTTGATAGTGGATCAGTCTGAACCACACTGGCCGTACACATCACGAACTAACCTGAACTATTACAGTTCCCGATCGGCCACATCCCATTCCGGTCCGGTACCAAATGAGGCAGATGGTTATTTGGCTAAGGGAACAGGCTCTGCGGGTGGGGATGGACTGTATTCGGCCGACGGAGAGCCTATCAGTCCAGGTGAAATTAAAAGACCAATTCATGCGGACATTATGCTCTTTGTGATTGTGGCGCTGATTCTCGGACTGGTGATTATCATGTTCGGTTTATGCTTGTATTTACGTCACAAAAAGAACCTGTTCCTATTCTTACCGGATTTGTGTGGTGGATGCTCACCTTGCATGGACGGAACAGAGAGCGGGAGCCGAACCATGGGTGCAAAAGCTAATTACACCAAAACCTATATGGATTTGGAGCATCGTGGTACGCACTCCACTGTCGCGGCTGCCTCTGCAGCAGCAGCTCCTTCTTCTCCAAGTTTATTCACTAATCTGTTGTCGGGTGAAAGTGCAGGCGGGAAAAAATCACATCTGTTCAATTCGGCTTCACCTTTACAAAGCCCGATTCCATCTAATCGCGGTCATCCGGTTCGCTCATCCACCACCGGTATCACCACCACCTCGGGACCGTTCGGTCAACCTCATTCCCGAAGCTCGTTCAATGTGAACAGTCCGTATGGGAATTACAATACATCAAGAGATCCCGTTGGACCTAACTGCCCGATGATTGATGGAATGCCCATTCGACAGGGAATGCAACTCTCACCGACTATTATTGGGTCTGAGGGTCTGTTTTGTCCATCGTCTTCGGCCTATCGACCGGGTACCACAATGGCTGTAAATATCCCGGATGTAGCGAACCAAGCGGAGTATATGGTGAGTTCAATTGGTTTGAGAGGTTGAACTAGTTTTATTTTGTTAGTAAATTTGAAATTTATGGAAATGATTGGATTCTATGAACACAAATATCCTGAACCACGAGAAGCAATAAAAGTAACTGTACGCAAGCGCATTCCTCAGGCTGAGTTAACAAGCTGCCTATCACTGAAAAGTTTCAGAGACACCGTGCACCGTTGTGATTTATCAGCAATATATGCTCATTATATCTATTAGAATTTGATCCCGGGAGTGTGAAGGATGGGTTAGGTCCTGGGAACTCGCTACAGGTGAACACTAACTCATATCCTTGGCAAATAAGATCGTCAAAACCGTTCCACAGGAAGTATGATAAATTTAGTTTATTCGAATTTTTACTCATAATCTTCTCTATGGAGCTTGATGCCAGTTTACTGAAGGATCGGGAATTCTGGCACTAAATGTGAATAGTTCAGGGCGCATCACGAAATCCGACTGACAAGGTTCAAATGAGACAAGTGACTTGATTGACACTATAGGCATATTCATGCAGCTAAGGGAGTATTCTGCACCCCGCCCCTCTCAAAGCACACACAAGATTATAAATCCACTAGGCTAATGCCGGACTGAAGATTTGATTATTACCAAACTAACATGAGTATGGGTAAATCGGATTACATAGGACGAAACATGTGCTATAAAACAGACAGATCATGGTTTCATAAAAGATTCTAGATCAGTGGTCACATGGTCCAAAGACCTGTTTGCTAATTCTGTTGCTGCAACGATGAATCCACCAATTCG